TTTTTAGATCGGAGACGAATCTCCCACACGGCGGAGATATTTTTCTTCCTACCTATATTTTTCCTGCTTTTCTCTCTCTTCAAGAACTCTCCTTCGGCGTCGAAGTAACCGGTTTTCTGCAGAGAATCATATGCATCGGAGAGAATATTCCGGTTTCACCTCCTCTGGTCAAATAATCAGCAGTCTTAAACAACATATCATGAACATCAACTGTTCCTTTAGGCGCAACACCAACCGCAGACAAAATCTGAACCACTACATGATTCCTCCAATAAGCTAACCTACCCATCTTAAGCCTGTTCCACCACGGATGAGCCGGTGGTGCAGCCAGATCCTTCTCTTTCACAATCTCGAACCCAACTCTCTTCGCCGTCTCTGCTATGTCCACGTAAGCCCTAAGACCAGGAAGTGCATCTCCTCTCTCGATCCCTTGTATGACCTCCACGTGTTCATCATCCTCCGCTTTGAATTTCTCCGTCGTGACCCACTCATACGATACATACATGGATCCGGGTTTCAACACCCTGTAGATCTCGGCGTATACTTCCTCTAGCTTCGGCGCGTGACACGTGGCTTCGATCGAGTACGCGCCGTCGAAAGTGTTGTCATCGAACGGCATCTGTAAGAAGTTACCACAAACCACCTCACAAAGCGCGTCGAGCCCAGCTTTCTTATTGTGGAGACGCGCTCTGTTCACCTGGTACTCATTGATTGTGATCCCGACAACGTTAGCTCGCGAGTGAGATGCAATCGCTCTCATCGGACCACCGACTCCGCATCCGACGTCGAGGATCTTTTGACCCGGTTTGACTTGGATCAGATCTACGGCCATCTCTTCGTGGAGGCGCGTGGCGTCTTTGTGGGATTTTCCGGGGATGTGAGGAGAGAAGTGGAAGGATTGTCCCCAACCCCATTCGTAGATGTCGGTGACGAGGTTGTAGAAGGTGTCGACGAAGTCGGGGACTTTGTCGGCGGTTTCGATTTCTTTGGGACGGCGGAAGAAAGACCAGTACTGTTTGTAGTTGTCTTGGACTTTCTCGGCTGAGATTGAGCCGCCGGATAGATCGATGGCTCTTTTGCCTTTACGTTCGGCTGGGCCGAGGACGCAGAGGAACCAGTAGATACCGACGGCGAGGAGAGCGCCGGTGAAGAAGAGTGTTACAGAGTCCATTTAATT